AAATCGAAAATTAGACATCAACATGTTTCAGCCCCTATGGTACAACATTTTATAGAGACCAATCATGGCCCTAGTGACTTTAATTGCCTCGTGCTAGAAGTGATTAAACATACACCTTATAACTATGTAGATATAAGAAGACTCCTGCTACAGAGGGAGGCGTTCTGGATATTTAAACTCCAGTCAGAACAACCTGCAGGGCTCAATGCGGCTCTTGATTTGTCTTGTTTCCTGGGAGAATAAAAAACGGAACTCTGAGATTAACACTCGTGATTCTCTGATAGCAATAAGGTAGTTTGAATGAATGGATGGACGTTGGAATGTTGATAGATACACTGCTTTGATTGGGCGTAGGGTGCTAGGAGTATATGGTATGTTGGCCTCCCATACCATGTGATGCAGTAAGACAGGATATAATCCACACTGTTGAATAGCATTTTAAGATTTACTATCCGGAAGAAAAATTTTGTGAATGAGGGAGCTTTGAATAGCCATTCTTGGTGAGTTGTATATATTTCTATACAATATTTTTGTAATTTGTATATGAATGCCATTAGGTTGGTTAGGAATGACTAATGTAAGTTTGTTTATATTTATAGAAATGTTGACACTTATTGTTGGAATTTTTGGAAACTCTGAATAGAAAAGACCAGAAACTGTATGTATACACTTGGGCTTTATTGTAAAAAATGAAAAAAGATTTGTATGTAGAACTCTTCTCACTGTTGTTTCCCTGTTATTAAGAACATGTATCTTTAATAGGACATCTGACGAAGACAAAGGTCGAAACGAACAGTCAGCTCGAGAAAGTTCGTACTTGTACTTGTTGCATGGGGACCTCGGTCTCTTCATGAAGTTTTTCCACTGGAATAAAAAATATCAACTTTGAATATACTGTTAAAGTATAAAGAACTTGTTCAGCAATATGTTAATTTTGTACTGATCTATGATCATAAGATAAAGATAGATATTTTCACAGGTTCTCATGTGCACAGTTTATTCCAGAATTTGATTAAGTGAATGTTGAGGCAATCATTCACAATCAAGTGAAGGACTGTACAAAAGGACTGTAATAAATACATATTTTCTGAGACAGAAAATGGGCATGGAGGAAATGAAGATAAGACCTTTCATATTTATTATGCATTATTAGAATGCAGGGAATCACTGCATTTATCACATCATAGCAGACTGAGACTGCTCCTGTTCACCTTAACAAGCCTTTTCATGCTGATCTACATGCTTTGTGCCACCCTATAATGCCAGAATATGCAACCTGATTAAAGTCCAACAAATTAATTTACAAATAAATGTGGTGTTGGAGGAGAGTTTTAAGACAAGTCTGAACTCTTTCTAGAAGGTGAAATAACTAAACTGAGGCTATCGTATTTTGGTCACATTATGAGAATACAAGGCTCAATAGAAAAGAAAATAATGCTAGGAAAAGTTGAAGGCAGCAGGAAAAGAAGAAGAATCAATATGAGATGGATTGACTCAATCAAGGAATCCACGGCCCTCAGTATGCAAGACCTGAGCAAGGTTGTTAACAATAGGACATTTTGGAGGTCATTAATTTGTAGGGATGCTGTAAGTCAGTGAATTATCACACAAGGTCCAACCAACCAGACCTGGAATCATCAGATTCTTGATAACATTCTCTCTCCTTTCCTGCTTCATTTGCATTTAAACACGTAAAGGGAGGGGACACTTAAAGTCAACCTCTCCATTGATTGGACCAAAATACTAAATACTAACTTCAGAAGCACAGGCATGATTCTCCAAAAGCTTCTAGCGGCCTTTTCTGCAAAAAGTGTCTTCTTAAAGTAGTTGTTTTTTTCCTCCCTATGGAGGAATAGCAGAAGTCACCCAACTGGAAGGAGGTACTATCCATGGTACTAATCTACTTTGAAAACTAGTTTTGTACATGAGTTTTTTATAATCTAGCATCTTTCTAGATTCAGCAAATTCCCATAAAAGCTGGACCAGAGCAGAGACATTATATTGTCCTGTTTTCTTTTCATACTGCTACCATTTTGACTCTCTCTCTCTGTTTTCCAAATAAAAACCATTTTTAGTTAAATGTTTTGTACTACTAAAACTTTTCCTCCTATACTCAAGGTCTTAACATTTTATCACTGTTAGCAGTAGAAAGGGGGGTGGGTACTTGGGAAAATTAGTAAGGACTTGTGTGGGGGAGAGAACAGAACTTTATCTAGATAGAATATCTATGTAATAACTATATAATTACTATGAGTGATTCCCCTGCCAAGGTGTGATAATATACTGGAGAAGCTCATGACATATACTTTGCAGAAAAGCAGAGAAATAGTGTTCATCAGAATCTGTGGTATGCTTTTGTAGAAGATGATAGATTTAACAAGAGTTTTATAATTGAATGGGAATGAGGTCAGACTTCATTAAATATTGCTTATTCAGGGACTGTTTCAATCCTGGGGCCAGAAAGGCAGAAGAACTTACTGAAACAGTGGCTTGGTAAGCATATGCATTACAACTGGATGCAAGAACAACTCAGCTCCCCTTTCAAAAGATTTCAGATCAATTTGTTCAGTTCCTAAAGGTGTTTATATACAAAGGCACTTGAGGCACTTGTGAACAATTCAGTACAGCTGAATTATTTATTTCTTTAAAAGGAATATTCTTCTTACAAAAGAAAGTGAAAATTCTGAGGACAGTCCCCACTTTTTTGCATTGTGTTTCTTACCTTGGAGGTTGGGGTATCCCATATTGCCAGACCAAAATAGTCTTCTTCCAAAAGATTGAGGTGATCACATACTTTCTTAAGCAGATCCTGTCCCTTGGCATGTTTCTGCACACAAACACAAATATATGATTTTGTGAGGTCACTTTTGCCTTTATATTGAACTTCATAATTATATGCTTAGGTGTCTTCCATTTAAATCTTGGCCAATGACAGCACAGCCCACTTACTCTTTAGAAGGCCCATGTCTGTGAAAGAGAATCTATACCAGCCATTCTTACACTGACTTTCCTTAGGATTGTCCCGTCTTAATGAAAAAAAGAGTAAGATGAGGCTGTATTCTCTCTCTTGGCTTCTCAAAGATAGCTGCGGGTCATAAAGGTGCCTGCCAAGTCTCCACTTGAGGAACATCCCACCCTCTCCTCACACTTGTCTTATAAGAAAAATAGGTGGCCGTAAACCCTACATTTTCCTTACATGGTTTTGTACTGCAAGCTAATAGATATCAGGAAAAGTAAGAAACTCAGTAGTATGGCACTTCCAGCAAACCTAGTAACAGGTAGTAAAATTATGGTCTGTTTAATACAACTGCCCTTCTCTGGATCTTTGTACTGTACATACAGGTTTGGCCAAAAGCCAAACCAGTGGCTTCCCCTGGAGCCTCAAAACACAGATCAGCATAGGAATATTCCTTACACCTATAGCTAATCCAATACAAATCAGCGTTTCCAGTAGCTCTTACTGCTGTCATTTTTGTGCCAGGAGTCAAACGAGGGTGCACTTACCTGTAACTGTTGTTACAGTTGGGCTCCCAAAGCTCTTTCCCACAAAGCCACTTTGAGTCTAGCCACTCTCCCTTCTTCTTTGGTGTAAGGTGGCGGAAGGCCGGGCATGGGGCAGTATTGTGACCTTCGCCCAAACATAAGCTTTGTTCCTCTGTGTGCCTAATAATTCTATCTTTGCTTAAAGTTTCTACTAATTTACAACTGGCCTGTAATTTCCCAGCTCCCTTCTGGATCATCTTTTTAAAACTGCTGTAACATTTGCTACGCTCCAGTCTACAGTGGCTGTGTTCCTGTGTTCCTAATACAGTTTTGCACTTACAATTGGGTTTAATTTCTCTGGAAGTTCATACATGGATACACAGGCTCAATTACTGTCTTAGGCTTGCTTTCTCTCCTGTATGTCTTGCACTTTTAACACTTAACAAACACTCTTCAACCAAAATGGAAAACGTCCCTTTCAGAGAAATTACAATCCATTGGATATTCTCCTAGCCTTGGGTTATTCCAAAGCTAAATCTGAAATCAAGCAAAGGATCGGGGACATTAAACTTTAACACCATTTAAGTTCTGCTGCAAAACACCATCACTTCAAGAATAAGACATTGGTGTCGTCAAACTATTTAGCTAATTTAATGGTCCCCAAACACAGGACAGTTTTTAATCTGGCCTGCCTTAATGTTCTTGCATCTGCCTTATTAGAAGGAAGATACCGTGTTAGGCCATGGTTTATGCTCTTGTGCTGGGGAAACTGAAATGGCTGGACATGTGCTGCTGCACTCTCCCTTCTATAATGACCTTAAGATATATATTTAGTACACCTATCCTCCAAAAAATTCTGGTAAGATCAGGGAAATGGTATAACACGTTTCTTCTTGCAGACCTTAAACCTGGAACCTTGGACAGAGTTCCCAGACTGTGCAGCTTCCAGAGTCTGCCAAGGTGTAGTGTTGAATTAGCATCACATATTTGCTTTTTTAGTATCTCTTAATGGAAGATTGTGTGTGTGTGTGTGTGTATTCTTATAACCACTCTGTTAATGTAAGTTTTATGTTGCTGGTCCATAATAACGTATTGATTGATCATTAATAAACGATTTCACATTTGAGTTCCCTAAGAACCCTCGGGTGTATACCATCAGGACGCAGAGACTTATTTGTTTGTAATTTTCCCAGTAGGTCTGGAATGTCATCACCTCAATTTGACTCAGTTCTTCATACTCTGTTCCTGAAAATAGTTGCTCTGGTCTGGGTACATGCGTCATACTTTCCACAATGAACACAGACGTAAATAATTCATTTAGCTTTTTCTGCCATCTCTCAATCTCCCTTCAGTAACCCCTTTTTCCCTTGGTCATCCAACAGCCCACCTGCCTCTCTAGCCAGTTTCTTGCTCTGGAGATATTTAAAGAAATGGTTGTTTGCCTTGATGCTTTTAGCAATCTGTGCCAACATCCATGTGTTCTATAAGTTTGGCTGTAGATCATATCAATCTGTTTGACAGGAGCTGACAGCTCAGGGTGTCAGTAGAGCTGGCTCCAACCGGTTCTGTCTAGTTGATAGCAGAGCTAATTAACAGTGACTCAGCATTGGGTCCTTATTGGACAATGCTAGTATAAATGTGATGCTGTACAATGTACTATACTTCCTGATGGAAACCTGGTGTCTACATGAGCATTTTGTCATTCTGTGCAATATATTGGTGGAGGCTTGTGTAAATAAATCGTATATAGTTTTACACCAAGCCTATAAGACTTACATCTTCTTTGATACTCTCACACCACTCGCAACCTGCAGTGGGCTAGCACCGCGCAAACCTCGACAATCTGTTCCTCAAATTCTTTCTTTGGTTGCATAATTATTAACCTTCAGTTCTTTGGCCAGATTATGTGTTTCTCATTTCATTGGGGCAGACCTTCCACTACCTGGGGGATGTGGTTACTACATATTTGCATAGGATCTCACATGAACTCACATAAACATATACTGAGTCAGACTATTGGTTCATCATTGGCGAATGTTGTCTACTCTGACTGGCAGTGATTCTCCAGGGTCACTCATAAATACAAGTTTTTTACATCACCTATCTGACTTTTTAAATTGGAGACACCAGAGAGTAAACCTGGGACCTTCTGAGCGCAAAGCAAGTGCTCTGCCACTGAGACACAGCCCCTTGCCTTCCCAGGAAAAGCAGTGTAAAATATTTTAATTAAATAATATTTCATAAAATCCTAGTCGCAGAACAGGTTTGTAGACAAAAGCACCCCTAATCACTTTTTAAGTTGGCCAGTTGCAAGGGATTTGCTGTATGTCCCAACTATTCATTCGCTATAAGATCTAGTGCCTACCAAAGCCAAGGTTCTAGCTACACAAATGCCAAGAATTACTAGGAGTAACACAAACAGTAAAAAAATAAAAGCATGAACAAAAAACAGAACACTGAGGTCAAATCATGCAATCTGAGGGGGGGGGGAATAAATTGACTTTTGGTCTTATCTAGAAGGTGACCTTGGTCCACAGCAAAAATTTAGGCGGGGGGACCTTCATAAATTTGTGGTAGGTGTCCAATCATACTAATTCCTTCTCAAAGGGCCTCCTCATTTCTGAAACCTGGGGGTGGATGAGAGAAGTGGTTCCCCCCTCCAAACTATGTTCTGGGCACAGGTTGACTACTCTACAATGCTTAAGGGGCAAGACCATGCAAAACCTTTCCTTCATGACAGGCACAGCACCACATGACCTCAATTCAACAGAAGCTCTAAAATTAGCAAACTGATCAGAATCTTAAAATTTTGTCTTTCTAAATACAGAAACACACTTACATCCACAGAACACTCAAAAATGGTGTCATCCAGCAAAGAAACCTTGCAGTGCATGCTGTTCCTGGGTCTTCTTCCTGTCTTCTGAGCACCTTTTATTTCTTTGTCTGATTTTGCCTTGTTCTCTTTTTTCTCTTCTGTATTACAGCACTCCACTTGCTCTTCTCCTTCCTTAATCTCCAAATCCCTGTTCTCTGGATCTTGATCTTGATCGGGATCCTGATCCTGATCTTGATCCTGATCTTCTCTTCTATCTTCCTGGGCAGGCTGAAACCACAGATCAAAAATGTAGTACAACAAGAGATACTGCTATGCAATGTTGAGCACCTTTATAAATACTTTGTATGTAATTGTCTCTTAACAACATTTCAAAGTGAATTAGTTCACAAAAGCAAAGCAAGCTACTACTTGATAGGTTAAAATTTGTTGTACCTTGAAAGATTTTAACTCCCTTCAAAAATGAACTGTAATATAAATAGTGGCACAAAATTTAATCTATAATTATGTTAATTTAACTAAGTGTTAATTCTAAAATGAAAACCTGTCAGTAATGTGAATGCCACCTGGCATATTTATGATGAAAACTTACATTGGCTACCATTTGTAGCATTTCATTCTGGAGTTCCAAGTGACAGAGGACTGGAAAAAATAGCATTTTTGATCTAACATACATTTGGGTAGTCAAATAAGCTTAACTTAAGACTTTAGCACAGGACACAGTATAAATGAATGAGACATTCAGGCAAGCTGAGGTAACAGTCAACTCACTGGTCAGTGTTATCAACTGACCACCAATTATTTAACAATATTTGACTGCAGCTTAATTTTTAATTCCATTATGGTATCCAATGTTATCCAATAGTAAAGAGACTCCATGATCACTAACCCTGCAAGACACATAAGTATACATAGAAATTTCATTTGGCAGCAGACATCTACCCTGCACTATAATTAAAATCACATTTAAAAATTGACTCTGTTTTGTTTACACAAAATTTGCAAATGTTTAGGCTATCCCTGTGTTTCCAGGATGAAAGCCAAAATCAAGTGCAGTCTTTTGACTATACAAGTTTACATTTGCATTAAATTGCCAGCTATAAATAACAGACTAGAAGAGTTTAGAATTTAGTTTCATTGTTTTACAACTATTAACTAATTCAGGGTTTGGTAATTAGCATAAGCCTATTTGTTCTACAAAATCCATGTGTTAAATAGTCTATAAGTCAAAAGAGAAGGATTTTTAATTGGATAAATGTTCAGCCCCAAACTCCAAGAAGCTGATCACTTAAAAAGGAATATTTTAATGCTAACAAATCCACACCTGAAATAAAAGCACAGCATCCATAATGCTCTTGACTGTGCTGTTCTCCTATGAAAGTGCATACTAAGTGCTTGCAGCTGCTGAAATGTTTGGTGCTTCCACTGCTACTTGTGAGTCAGCATTCTCCCATCACAGAGGCTGTCAGTGTCCCATGTCAGGGAAAACAACTGCGTATTACTTGGGTATGAGAAATCACTCACAAATAACATTAATATGGATATTTCATAAACAAATTTCATGCATGATCACATTGACTTCTACTTTAATGATAAATGATAGTATTCATAGTGGTATAACGTATTTTATTCGAATTAGCACATACAGCGGTGAACATAAGTATTCCCTAACCATTTTCTTCAGGGAGATGTTAACAGCATGTCAAGAACCTGCCACACCTCTGTCATTCCGCAAACTACATAAAACAGTTGTTCAGGAGGACTATAGTATAATAAAATGGTTGTATATCCTATGCCATAGTTTATACTATGTATTACCCATTTGTTGTATGTATTATCCTACTCCTACTGCACTGCTTTCTATTTTAGTAATTCCGTTTTCTGCATTGTTTGACATGCCACTTCTGATTTTTTTTGCTCTGTTTCCAACTGGTGTAATCCTAGTCCTATTGCAGTCCTTATTAGATCTCTGATTGTTTTACGCCATGTAATCCGCATTGAATCTCAGTGAGAAAGGTGGACTGCATATAAAGAAAATAAATAATAAATGATGAGCCTACCTACCACTGCACCAATTCGACCCCTAAGGAAAAAAATTCTGGCTTGTATATGAATGTGATCCACCATCACTCGAAGGGTTATTTGAATTGAGCGACTTTAAACTCATGCACTCTTTCTTCATTGTGTGTGTGTGTGTGGGGGGGGTTTCCACATCTATTCCATAGTTTTCTCTAACCTGATTTTGCTGTTACACCTGTCTGTGAATTATGCTTAATGACTTGCTCCCAAGCCACAACTGGAAACCAGAGTTTGAAATGTTTTTGCTAACCATAGTTTGCCAATTCAGACATTTCAGTTGTAAAAACCAAGAAGCAGAGAAGGGAACTGCATGTAATCCTGTAGTACATTTCCAAGCCTCAAAACCATGATTTAAAGAACTGGGTTTGTGACAGCTGAGTAGAACCACAGAGTGCAGACATACACGTTCTGACTCTCAGGGCTGAACTGCATTTCTCATAATTATCAGTTATCTAACCTTCATACCATAGACACTCCTGTAGTACTCTGATCTGAATTAAAATGCTGAAAATAAAATCTACAAAAATATGTTAACACACTTTACCCTAAAACCTATTTACATAGTAATGGCATGCATTCATCGTTATAGGGTTGCATTTTCTTTGTGACATTATATGCAATAATGGTTTCATATGTCTTCAGAATTCTTTTTAAAAACTGTTTATACACATAGTGGTAACCAGATCATGCTACAGAAGAACTTATGTGTTTTCTATTTAGAATTCGCCGAGAGTACTTATCTTGATTTTTGGGATTCTACACTAAAGTTTACAGCTGTAAATAGGTTAAGACTCTTTAGCAGTTAGACACCAAGAATCTTCTTGGATGTCTGATCTATTAGACAGCACTTAGCAAGACAAAAAACTAGCTTATTTCTTTTTTACCTGTGTTTCTGCACTGCTGAGTGAATGGAGGTCTAAAGATGGGTCGGTTCTGAGCTCAGGTTCAGGAGCTGCTATGGGGGCTTTCAGCAGAATCTCTTCATTGGGATCATCTCCTATATCTGTCTCTTTCTGGCCTTCACCACTTTCTTTCGTTTCTGCCTCGTTCACTTCTTCTTCAGAGACCTGAGATTTGGGCCTCTTGAGGAATGATGAAAACAGGCGTGACAGGCCTCGACTTTCGGAAGTGCGTTCTTTGTTCTTGCTCTGGTCTTCCCGTGTGGGTGTATCACCATTGGATGCTTTCTGTTTCTTCTTTGATTGATTATCCCCCTCAGGTGCTTGCTGAGATGCCTTCTCCAAAGAGGCTTCTTGTTTTCCTGTTTCAGCAGCTACCTCCTCCTCTTTTGGCGGCTGCTGTTTTGGAGTCTCAGCCTCTGCCACTAAACTCTTTTCAGTTGTCATGATGTATCTATAAACATAAAACCACTGCAAGTCAGTCTCAAAGCTCAGAGAATGAGAGGGTGCTACTATGCTCAAAAAGCTCATTTGCTGTCCATGGCCAGCTAAGTAATAATACTTTCTTATATAGTGTGTTTCAAGCTTCTGGGACTTTGATGATTGACAATGCAATCTTAAAAACAAATTCCTGATATTAAGCCCCACTGAACAGACAAGTAGGATTATGAGTTGACCTGTTTAGGATTGCTCTCTAACCATATGTAATCACTACAACAGCCCTATAACACAGGCCAGAAATATTATCCCCACACTGCAGGTGGAAAGCTGGAAAATAGTGATTTATATCAGATTGTGGCCAACCAGAGATTTGAACCACGGATTTCCTAATTCACAGTTTGTATCCTAAGCAGAAACTACATTTTTGTACCGCACATAGGGAGCTTGTAGAGTATAGAAGGATGGTACAAATTATTCAGTTGATTCATACACAAATACCAACAGCATACCGAATTCGCTTCAAGGTGCTGGTACTCACCTTTAAAGCCCTATATGGCCAGGGTCCGACATACCTGAGGGACCGCTTTTCCCCTTATATACCCCCAGAGAGCACTATGGTCAGGGGTGCAATACCAACTGGTTATTCCAGGCCCCATGGAGGCCAAGCTCACGGCTACCAGAGCCAGGGCCTTTTCAGTGGCGGCTCCTTACTGGTGGAACGAGCTCCTGGAGGAGATCAGGGCCCTACGGGATCTTGTGCAGTTCCACAGGGCCTGCAAGACGAAGCTCTTCCACCAGGCCTTTCATTAGGAGCCACCCACCACTGCCATCAACACCCACGACTAATATCTGTGGCGTAGGCCGGCTGCAGTTGAGATCGAGCCATACTATCTTGAAGAACTGGAGACTGCTGAGCGGAGTGCTTTGAGCCCTGCATTATATGGCACGCCATCTTGCCTTAATAACTACTGTGTGCACTTTAACTGGAAATTGTTGTTGGTTTAAATGGTTTTAAATGTTTATATGAATCTTGGCACGTTGGGCCAAGCAATGTGAGCTGCCCTGAGCCTGCTTGCGGGGAGGGTGGGCTATAAATATAATCAAATAAATAACTAAATAAATAAAATACACATATACCTGCATAAATAAGTTACTGCTACCTATACAAGGTCAAAATACTATACAACCAATATATATGATTTCAGTCCTCTACACTCTAAACCCTATAGTGGACAGTGCTGGGAAACTGAATCAGAATTTTTTTTTAATGTGTAAATAATGTTAGCAAAATTAGAAAAATACATCACATTCACGCACTGGGGGTTGTTCATGCTTCATATCCCACATTTAGCACATCAAACATGACTAATTTACAGTACAACAGACCTGACAACTATAGGTAAACAAACTACATTTACATGTGTGGGGCAGAACACTTTACACAGAAATATATAGCATCTGAAAATATTCTGGGGATTATTTTCCACCTCACATCACAGATAGTGAAATCACTGATTTAAAGGTTCTTTTCATTTGCCCATTCAAAAACATTTGAGACGGGAGTTGTGTAAAGGTTTAGCATTGCTGTTTCCCTCTAAATTAAAAATGAGAAAAGGATTTTCAGTACCTATTCCCTAAAACTGGAAGAGCATCATTTGCCATATTTTAGTTTACAATGAAAACCACTATTCAATCAAAATGCAAGTTAAGAATCAATTCTCCAAAAAAGCAAAAATGTTCAGATCTCTGGCTAGATTAGCAGCCAATCTGATTTATCAAATATTATAAAGTATGGTATTTAATACACTATTAGTTCATAATAAAAGCTCATGTACTAATTAAACACTATAATGAGAGCTAACAAAAATTCCTACATTCTATACTGCCTAAAAAGCAACGCTATCTCCAGTTACATGGTTGCATCATAGTACCACAACTAATCAAAGTGCAGAATTGGCATTCAGCACTAAGGGAGAGGGTGGAGAAAATGTGTTGTTTTTTTGTTTGGCATTCAGCCAAAAACACAACTTAGCCTGCTTTCCAGTGAGCATTTGGGAAAATATAAATAAAAGCATAATGTTTTACAAGCCACTGAAGTTGATAATGTGGGATTGGTTTATGTACAACTAGAGCCCTGTGTTGACTTTAGCAAGATAAATAAGATGGGGGGGAGGATTTCACATTTTAAAATAAGGATAACAAAGCCTGTTTTCAAAGTTGCCTGTTTATAGAGCCTGGTGAGTTCACAGGCCATACAGCTTTGAAACCAAGCCTTAGGTGGAGTCTGGTGTAGACGTATGTCTCCATCTCTTTCCTCTGTATCCCTAGAAATTACATCACAACTCTACTTTGTTCGAGGATATCCTAGTGGCTTCAAATAAGCTTAGAAGAGAAGAAGAAGAGATTGGATTTATACCCCAGCCTTCACTACCCAAAGGTGTCTCAGAGCGGCTTACAAACTCCTTTCCCTTCCCCTCCGCACAACAGACACCCTGTGAGGTAGGTGAGGCTGAGAGAGCTCTGACAGAAACTGCTCTTTTTCAAGAACAGCTCTTATCAGAACTATGGCTTGCCCAAGGTAATCCAGCAGGTGCAAATGGAAGAGTGGGGAATCAAACCCGGTTCTTCCAGATTAGAGTCTACGCACTTAACCACTACACCAAACTAGCACAAAAACCTGAAGATGCAGAGCTGAGCACGTACTAGCAGTCCCTTACCCTGTGCTTTCCTTTGCTCATCCCTTTGTATCCTTACCATGCATTAATAGAGGACATTATGGTGTCATGTTACGTCATGAAGTCTACTAAAAGTTACAGGGAAGATCAGAATAATTTAATACATGGATTCTGTTTTTGATGACATTCTCTTGTCTCTTAGAACAATGAGTTTCATCCTATTATGACAAGTTGGAAAAGGGTTTTCCCAATCATAGTGGCTATGTGAAAAGAATTTCCATCATGCAGATCACCTTACAATCTAAAAACTGAATTGTAGCGATGCCCAACCGGGCACTCATGGTCACTATGGTACACACCAATGCGGTTCATTGCACACACTTGCTCCTTTTCCAAAGTATCACCTCTCGAAAGCAAAGAGCCAGTCTTGGCTGTAATACACCTCATTGGAGCAGGAGATGCTTCAGAAGAATTCAGAAGCACCACCTCTACAGGGAGCACCCAGAGAAAAGTAGCTGCCTTCATCACAGCAGGCTCCTTGGCTTGGAACCTCCTAACATTCTAGGACTGGCCCTTGTCCCACTTATCCCACTGGCAACCATTTTATGGTTGCACCTCATGGCAGGCATTTTGTGGTGGTGCCCACTCCTGTTCTAAAATTCCCAAAGTGCCCACAGGCTCAACAAAGTTGGAAACACAGAAGCTAAGTACTCTGTGTACTTGAACTGTACTATACATAATCTTTCAATACATGTACCTGGCCTTACTAAGTCAAGTCCACAAAAGTTACTAGTCAAGAAAATAAGTAAAGACTTGTCTAATCACACATAATTATGGCACAATGACTTTCTGAAGTTAGGTGGGTGGCTACCAAGGATGGCTTCTTTTCTGGAGTGATGCCTCTTTGTGGAACTCCATTTCTTTATCCCTTCACTGATCTCTTAAATTTAAGGTTTTTAGGTGCCAAACAAAAACAATTTTATTTGCCCAAGTTTTTAAAGGTACACAATTTAGAAATATTTTTTCACTGCTGCTGTTCTGGGTGTTTTGATGCATTTTAAGTTTCTGTTATAGCAATATATCTAATTCTCAGCAGGGCTCCATCTGTGTTATAACTGTTTTAATGATGTGCATGTTTTTGTTGGTTTTAATGGTTATGAAGATGTGATTTTATTATTTATTATGTCTCAATTAGTTAGATGCCCTAGTAGCCCTTAGGAAGGCAGAAGGGGGGATACTAATTTTGTAAAATAAAGCAGCCCCTGTAGCTTTAAGGAATGAATGCCCTCAGTGGCTGTTGCTAGGCAATCACAACAGTACTGCCAGCCTCCAAGCCTTGGTTTCTGTCAGTAAAAGCCTGGTGGAGGAAGCAGGATCCTTTCCAAGGCAGTTTTGGCCTTTAACGCTCATCAGGGCCCAACCCAGGAGCAACCACCAAGCAACTTGCTACCATATAATTTCCAAGACTCACTCAGGCCCAGCTGCTCACTAATGTTCAACATCAGCCACCACAGGAAAGCCAGTGTGGTGTGATGGTTAGGGTTTCAGACTAGGATGTGGGAGACTCAGCTTTGAATCCCCACTCTGCCATGGAATCTCACTGGGTGAATATGAGCCAGTCACACACTCAGCCTAAGATACCTCACATGGTTGTTGTGTAAATAAAATGGAAGAGAGGAGAATGATGTAAGCCATTTGGGGGTCCCCACTGTGAAGAAAGGCAGAGTATAAATGAAGTAGACAAATAATAAACATCACTGAAGATGGGGGGGGGGGTAAATGAAAGGTAGGTTTGGTGGGTGGGAAGGAGAGAGGGAATCTGAAAAGGTGAGAAAGGTGAGGATATGGGGGTAGCCAGAAGGATAGAAAGAGGAAATAGTGTGAGGAGGGGATATAAGGGAAAGTGAGGTGCCCTGTGCAAGTCCTTCTGGGTTCCCTACTCTGCAACTGGACCTGGCCCAGTGGCCAGCACAACACAGATTTTTTCCCCAAAGGGAGACTAGCAAGGGAGGAAAGGAGGGAAAACTGAAGACAAGGAGGCAGATAAAGGTAAGTTAATTGTCGGATGCAAAGAAGGAAGCAGGAAAAGGGGAGAGGCTATGGGGACTTTCAGGGAAGCGAAAGAGGAAACAGAGTGGGAGGAGAACACGTCCTTGCAGATCCCCCAGTTGTTATACTTTATTTTGCAACCTGCCTTGAAGACTTAGGCTGAAATGTAATAAATATTTCAAAATATAAAGATCAGTGCTTGCCTTGCACTCATCCAGCATATGTTTGGGACAGGCAGAATGTACCACCTAAATAAAGCTCATCCTAGAGCAGATAATCATT